GCCTCCTTCCACTTCCTCCCTGTCCAATCACTTTGGATTAAACCCTGTAGAAATGTCAAAGAGCTGCAGAGAGCAGAAGGGCCTCACTCATCGGGCCCTTTATGCACCAGGGGCCCAGGGAGAGGTTTAGTGTCAGAAATGGCAGTTTGTCAATTCCCCCACCAAGCAAGGGTTAAACACATAAGAAACTCTGTCTGTCTCACACAAACAAACATACACAAAGCTGCTTTATTGCTGCAGTTTTGAGACGTCTGTATCTCCTGTACCTGCAAGTGTGTGGAAAAGAAATATTTATTTTTCCTCCTTGTCTTGTCATCACCCTGTTACAACACAAGGCCAAGAACATAACAGCACCCCCCGCCACACACAAACATAAAGAGCTGTAAAACATGCTGTGGTATCAGTTAAAACCAACAAAATTGTACAAAGGGAATCTCAAAAATTGGGTACAATAGGAGTTTGCAGTATAAAGCAGTGTACACCTTACACCTATCTTGGGATTTGTACATCAAACTCTCTGTGTATACATGGGCACACATTATTTATTTGTACATTATCAAGGTGCTGTAATGGACCTGATTTAATGCAACCCTGCTAATACTCCTGCACCCACTCCACAGATAGCAGCAGGTCAAGTAAAGGGAGTGCTAGGTTCTGTAGCTCAGTCCTTCTTGGTGCCTGGTAGTGCTTGGCAGGCTCTTTCTTTTCAGCCTACTCTACCTAAAGAGAAGACTATGTGTCAAGCTTTCATCCACTTAATGCTCTCTGCAGTTTACATTCCATTCCTGTTTAGTACATGCTGCTGCTTCAAGTCTAAGCAGATATTGTTAGTCTTTAAGAGGGGAGAGAGTAAAGGAGAGGGCAGGGTGGTTAGGGAGGGATGGAGGGTCAAGGAGGTTGGAAATTCATCTTGTGAAGGTTGTCCTGTGAGGGCATGTGCACTGCTTGCTTGAAAGGTCACAACTTGGTGTTTGAATCAATTTGATTGGGATGAGGAATACATCGTCCTGCCTTTTTCAGCTTTCATCTTTCTGTGTTTGCCTATCATACGCTCTGGTGGGGACAAAAGCAGATAAGTTTTGTGATCTCAGGAGATGCTTTAAATGCTAAACCTTTGCAGCTGCTGTCAGAAACAGCACTACATATTTTCATAAGAGAGCATCGCTCCTGGGAGACTCTTGTCTCGTCTGAGCTAGGCCCAGCTTCTTATTTTCTGTAACACATTGGCTATGCCTTTAAGATGTTTCTCACAGATTGTCCTGCAGCTGCATCAGTGGGTTTATTAGCAGAGTGGGCGAATCAAGTCCCCTGAAGAATTCTTCTCACAGTGCCTCTGACAGTCTCTGGCTGTCACAGAGATGTAACCAGGATGGGAATGCTGGAGTGTGGGTGTATAATAGTGTCTGTTTGTGGCTACCACATGTTAGTGTGTGTGTGTGTGTGTGTGTGTTTTGGGGGGGGTGGACACCTGCATTTTTGTATTCGTATAAACGTGATACAGTATAGCTTATGTTTGAATGATCATTCTGGTGGTTTGGTTGTTTGGATCCATCACCTGCAAATCATTTTTCAAAGCATACCATAATCTCACTTTAAGTTCCTTTGGTTTCATCATCTTCCAGTAACTTACTATACTCACATACATTTACATACATTTTAACAAACATTTAGTCACTTTTTATCAAAGTTACTGCATCATTTATGTGGGAATTAAGATGCAAGGCCCGTTTTGAAAAGTCTTCTCTGTTGGTGCATCACAGGAAACTGCAACATTTGTAAGTGGCAGTTGAAAAGCAAGAAACTATCAAAGTCATAGTATCCCTCATATCCCTCACAAAATCCATGCATCCTTATTACTTGTCCTCTGGATTCAATTTCCTGAAGAAATTGCTTGTGGACATTTTTTAATAGCTCAATCGGAAATTTCTGATGTGAAGGCTTAAAGGATAAGTCTGTATTTTTGTTTTTATCAACAAATCCCATGAAAAGACCAAAACCAACAATAAATAGATCCTGATAACAAGTGTTTCCTGTTAGAGCTTAGTGTCCTCACTGTGGGATCTGTTATGACAATGACAATAATTATATGACAATAACACAAATATCTGATATGAACAGACTTACCTTTTTAATGACCTTTCAAATGCCCCACCAAGGAACAATTTTCTAAACCCATGCAATATTCACTATGACTGATTGGGAATCTTAGGAGAAACTGGTCTCACTCTAAAAACACACAGTCAACATTAATGGGATGAAAAATGCAACAACACCAGACGAGTCCATAGAATCCCATATCTTACTTTTCATTGAAACAAATGGGCTTGCAGTATAAATGTGCATGTTGTTTTGGACACTGAATTTGTTTGGAAGTGGCGTCTCTAGCTGCAAGATGACAGCTGGTGGTAGTAGACTGATGAAAGGATCTTGGCTCAGTTATTTCAGCCCGATCAATGTTTTTCCAGAATTTACTGCATCTGTCCTGTTTCTTATTAATTGTTCACGGACCAAAACGCAGTTGTTTCTCTAGGTCCTTCGAAACAACAGCTGGGCAAACATAAGGCCCTTCCGCAGGCTTCTGTAGACTGTCACCTGTCATTCCTTATCCATTTATTCGGTTGTTCCCTCTTTCTAGAGCTGCTACTACTTTGTCTCCCAAGGCAAACATTGTGCATTGTGAGCAGAGTAATTCATAAGTAAACAGTGGAATTCCTTTTGGCTGGAATGTGTGTGCTCGTCTGTGCGTCACATTGTGTGTATGATTTTGATGTATATGCACATGCACAAGCATATACCTGGTTGCCATATGTCCCAGTTGAAACTGCAACCAGTTACTAGAGCGAGGAGAGCTTCTGAGGCCGTGTCCTCTGGGTGGGGTGGAGTTCAAAGAATTAGAGAGTCCGTCAAGACGTTTATCTCGGGGGAGAGATAACTTTAACACAACGGACATGCCTCAACTCCTAGAGTGAGAGTGAAGGTCACGGTAGACTTTTGAACTAGAATCCAGTAGCATAGTGAGAAAGCAAATTCATACGTAGTTCCCAACTCTCCCCAAGATGAGGCCTAATCGACATTCTCAAAGAAGTGTAGCTTAACATGTTAGCTTTAACATGAGGTGCAAATATGGACTTTTAAGTTTGTGCTGGTTTTCGGCCAGATGCCATCCAGCGTGTCCAGATGATACCCCATCCCAAGGGAGTGGGAAGCAGGAGATGATCACACCAATGGTTGGCTGGTCGGCACCACTGAAAAGAATTTCGTTAGTCAGCAGTTTCCCTTTGAAAATGGCCCGGGATTGTTGTTGTAAGGGTGTTCAGTCAGGGGAGAGAGGATTTGGGGGGATAGATCTAGTTATTTATTAGCTGGAACCATTTAAATGGGAAAACTACCATGACAGAGTTTGGTGGAAATACGAACTGGCGGGCCATGCCAACTGGAAATGCCAGGGATGGCATCGTGCCAGAGTCGTATCTAAACTTAAAGCCAGAGTCTGGGCAGTCTGGATGCTGAGATGGTGAGAGCAGAGATAATAAACCCACACCGTGCTCCAGTCGGGCCGGCACACTGGACTTTATCAAGATGATCAGATATGAGAGTGGCTGGCTAAGCTTTGTGTCTCCTCGTTGAGAGTGTGTGTGTATCTGTCAGGTGTTTGGAGAGGAGCAGTATTTTTATTTATGTCATTTTGAGTGGTTTTGCAAGAATTTCCATTAGATAATGTTGTGATAGAAATCTGCACTCATATATTACTTCAGTAGATTCATACATTATTACTCCACACTGAGACTATCTTGCTGTACTATAGTAAATGTGGAACACAATTGAATGTATTATGTTCTGATGTGTTCTGAGTAGCGATTAGTGTCTTTTTTTTGTGATTCACAAAACAACACTATAGAGGATTGTTAACTTGTTTCTTTGTTGGTCGTATTTCAACAACTATGGGACTATCTACTTAATGGATTTCCATGAAATTTGGTACAGATGTTCATATGCCTCTCAGGTTTAATCATTTCTATGAGTCATTTAATGAGATTATCAGGTCTAATTTATAGGTACAATACTTTGTTTTCTGACCAAATTTGTGCACAACTTGCATGCTTACTCACATGCTAAACTAAGAAGCCACATTAGAAGTAAAGAAGTTTACAAATGTGAGTTAGCATTCAATGTCAACTCAAAGTACCTGACAAGCTTTGATACTTGGTGCTGCGGATGCATTTCGGTTGTTACCAAAAAAGTATCAAGGTCTAATTGTCAGCCCTAGTGCTGCATATGCTCAGACAAGCTCAATGAAATTTTACATTACTGTAGCCTGGGGCCAGACACTACATTTTCAGGTTTACTGCCATCCTTCAGTCACACCCCTGCTGTTGTGACATGCATGCTGAATGACATGATGATCGCAGATTTTAAGTAGCCTGTCCTCTGAGGTGCTGCATTTATTTAAGGTGTTTTAACTGCTGCTGCTGGTGACATAAGGTTTCCATGATATACTCCTTCCTAATTCCAGAGCAAAGAGTTGGCCATAAAGGACTAGGACTGGTCGTGGTATGCTGGAAGGGACGAAGTTTAAAGCATACTTAAATAGATTTGTGTCTTGCAGTCATTCTGATCTCAGCTTCACTCTGACTTTGAGAGATTTGTGGAGTGTGCATGTGTGATTGTTTGCTTGTACTTGTGTGTGTGTGTTCAATCTATCTATATGTGGGTCATTGCAGTCAGCTTTGAATATATGCTGCCAACTTCCACCATTAATATTAGAAATACGTACAACATCAAATGCTACGTTCACTCTGGCGTCATGAACTTTTATTTGCATGTGAACTCTTGGGGCCTCTAAGAGATAATAAATGGTAAAAGTAAACACACCACAATGCCCCGTTTCCTGTCTCAGCTTTTGTTTTCCCTCCACCCTTCCAGGGTCCATGTATAGCACTGGGTGTAACCTTTCTCAATGGAGACTTCAACCCCTATAAATCTCTTTATGTTTGCTGCAGGTGACTCAGGCCTCCAAGGTGTGGGGAGAGGTACCTTTGCCAGAAGACTTGGAGGCAGAGAAAGATGTCAAGGCGTCCCAGAGCTTACTGGATGACGACGAGGACTTTGCTGCTGATGAAGCATCAGGAGGTGGGTTGGATAAAGGCTGGATATCCACAAACCACAGCAACAGCTGCCCTTAATTGCATGACATTGACATGCTTTTAATTATGCATTCATTAGATTGTTAACCCATCCCCAAAATTGAAAATGAGGGAATGTTGCTCAGAGTTAATTATGAAATACTTACTCTGATGATTTCCTCCTATATAGTTACTTGCAGGATTCATGGTTTTTCAAGAGGAATATAGTGCTCCTGCTAAGTAAAACTAAGCATGTGTTTTTTTCTGACCATATTCCTGTACTTCTGTTTCTGTTAAGATCTGCCCAGTGGAGAGGATGATGGAAGCACACCGTGGCCTCCAGTCTCCGAGACCACAAGTAAGGGACAAAAGGATCTAGTGAATCTTACAGTTCTCTGTGACAGATTTTGTTTAAGTGTGGCAGATCACTCAACCCTCTAAAGCTCCACCATCTGTGACTCTGACTTCAGTAAAGGCACGCAGCATGTGTGTGTGTGTGTGTGTATGTGTGTGTGTGTGTGAATGTGTATGTGTGTGTGTGTGTGTGTGTGTGTGTGTTTGAGCATGATTTCTCTCTGTGTCTGAATGATGATGCCTTCACACCCCGCTACACCCTCTCCTCCCTCCTCGCCAGCTTGCCAGAGTCTGGTCATAACACACACGGCTTCAGCTTTGTCTTTGAGACATAAACATCTCCTCTCCTCTTTCATCTTTTTAACCGGTGGCAGAGGTGACAGCACAATAAGATACATGAAAGCAAGCTGAACAATAAAACCTTCAGCAGGGCACCTCTGTTTTGCGTTCCATTCGCTATCCATTCTCCATTTTTCTAACCTCCCTTATTTTTTGTCGGCTTGGAAAGCATTTATATGCATGCACCCCCAATATCTCACATTGTGCAGTAGCCGGGCGAAAAAATATTTAAATAACGGATTGAACTTTGCATGAAGGGTCTAACTCTTTAATCATGCCTGTGGTTTGCTGCTGCTAGATACGCTTCTGTTCTTGATCAATTTTTCTTGTTTTTGCCATCCCTGGGTTTCTTTTTATTGCAGACAGCGTAATGACTAAGAGTTACTGACATTTTTACTGAATATGTCTGCGTGCAACTTGGCCTTAGCCACCAAGGATGCCTTAGGAGTACCAACTGGTAATAGTTTATTTGGATAGACTAATACTGATACTCCCCACCACATTGCATGATGGTATTGCAAGTGATCGGGCCATACCGTGCTTTAATTATAGTCCCCTCAGTAGCTTTGTTTATACTTTTTCATTTACTTTGTCTTATATGTGATGGTGAGTTACACACATACTCATAGAACAGCATCCAGGCCTTGTCTCATTAGTGAATAGTAGTAGTTGCTGCCTGTCTTTCTCTTTGATAGAGAGCAGTGATCCAGCAGAAGGTCTGCACTAAAGGCTTTGCCAGATGTCTGTTACTGAAAAGGAAAATACATGTGATTCTTTCTTCAACTTCCTTAATGTTGTCTTCACTATCGACAATCACCACAGCATCAGAAACTTGTCACCCAAATCACAGTTTTTGCAGTCGACATGTAGTATGTACCTAGTCATTCATTATAATACCTATCCCTTTTCCCTGAAATAAATTAATTTAACAAAACAGATAAATGTTAATATTCTGACAGGTGAGATCATTTCCATTCTTAATAAAGACAAAGGCCTGGTAATAGCTGTTGCTTCTTATTTTGTCCTTGGTGCCAGACGCTGGCACTTGACAGGTTGGTGGACGTGGTTACATCATGGTAGAATAATTGTTTTGGAAGCGGCATTGCAGGCTGACATCAGAGCTGCGGCATATAGCATCATGTGCCTTGCTCACAGAAATAGCACTGCCGTGAGGCCTCGCTGCATTTGGGTGGTTAAAGGAGCCCGTGAAGCTTTTAACACAGTTAATGCATATGGTGTTGACAGCATGTGATTGTGACTTATTAAGGTTTAACTGAGGACTGAGTTAATGAAGAAAATATTTAGTTAATATCGACAAAGAGTGATTGATTAGTTTAATTTTAACCTCCTGCAGAAAAGTTGTGGTTGTTTCTACTGGTGGCAACTTTGGTACTCTGGTACCCTCAGGTCAGAGTCAGTTTGGCAGATGCAAATGTATAAAAAGAATGTGAAAGACTTAGAACACAAAGCCAGTTTGTGCTTTGTTGACAGCACATTTTCTGTTAATGTGCTCACATTTTATGCCTGCGTTACTTTGTTTTATTGCTTCAGTTTCCATAAACCTACTGGCTTTTGTAACCACAAAAGGTCAATGTTGCTTTAATGTGGCAATGAAATAGGAGGCTGAGATTATGCAGTACTTTGTTTAATATATTGTCTTATCTCAGAGGTGGCTAGACATTTGTATTCTGCTCAGTATGATCACAGAGCTATGATTGGAGAAGGCAGGGGATTTCCTTATATAGATCTGAGCAGGACAGCAATGGGAAGGAAATACAGTTTCCTGTGCTGAATGCTGAATAGTTTTCTGAGTGTCTCTGTCCTGTTGGCTGTCCAGACTGTTCACCCAAGCCTCTACTTTCCTTCCCTCTCCACTACTTTAAAGTGGGAGATGTACATGGCACAGTTGCCCCCATTATGCTTTGTATCCTGTTGTGTTACACTTTACCGATGGTTAAGGAATTCCCATTTCCTGATGTCTCAGCGTCATACGTTGGAGCTGTGGAAAAAAACATCTGAGGCCTAAACTGTTGCTGAGATGAGGCTATTTTGAACCTCTTTTGTCCATTGTTGTTCTTTGTTCCCCCTAATCATAGTCTGCAATCTTCTCCGGAGATATGGAAGTTGCGTCCCATGTCCTCCTAACCTCTTGTCTTGACCTACACACTCAGATCCCTGAAGAGATTTCTGGGAGACAAAATCCAGCTTATCTCATCTGTGAGAGCCTTTCCTTGTCCACAGGCTCAATTACAGACATTCCCATTGCACCAAGGATATTAGCCACTTTGTTTAGAAACCAAAGAAACAAAGGTTACCATGTCCACTTATTAATGGCGATGGTGGTTGATAAGGGTCTGCTGGGGTAAATATCTTCCCAGTGCTAATTTTGGATGAAAAGCTTGAGAAATCGTATCTCTGCACTAGTGTATACATTTAAAAAAGTTTCCCTGCGTTTAAAACAAGGCAAAGACATTTTGTGATAGCTTTCAAACATGAGACAACAGAAGAAATATCATATCAAAACACAGTTTTTTGGCCCATGGTTGCCAGTTGTTGTAGTAACATAACACCCTACGCAGCTTGTTAGTTTTCCAGATGCACAGCAGTCAGAAATAGCGACTGTCAGAGCAAGCGATGGACAGATTTGTCAATGTAAACAAACCTCAAAGAAACGCTGATACATCGCAATCTTCAAAACGTATCAGTCTGTCTCAGTCAAAACATGAACCTGCCGGCCGAAAGAAATGCAACTTTATAATGAGCAGATATCATTTAAACATTGCATATCGAGTGAGAAGACGGACTAGACTAAATGTTTAAATTGAAATCAAATAAAGGACTTTTCAGTATATAGTGCCATAAACACCCTTTGAGTTACTCGGTGCTGTGCGACGTGTTGATTGGAGATTAAACGTGCAGCTTGAAGTTTCTCAGTTGATTCGGGGGAAGGATTAGCAGAGAGATCTGTGTTTAGTCTTCAGGGACGTTTGACTTAAACTCGAGGGTCAGGCTGTCCTTGATGCACTGGGTCTTGAGTAAAGGCTGACTCACAGACAGGTTGCTGCATTCCTGTGTAGCCTCAGCTGGTTTAATCACATCAATTGCTAGTGGGCGGCTGCTGAAAAAACACAATCCAGGTTCATATTCTTCCGTTATCTCTAGAAGAGAACAGATGTTGCAGCATAAGTGGACAATACATCAGGGTAATATAGCCTGTCTGTCAGTCTGGCCTGGGCAGTGGACAGGCTGCGGCCGGGCCACCCACTCGCTATTTCTGCCTTTTTCATGGGCAGTTTTTGAGACGTGTGTTACAGTGGCACTGCCTGTGTGTGTGTCCCTGTGTGTCCTATACTGGGAGACTCTTGGGTAGTTACCCAGAGGGATGAGTGCTGGCAACTGCAGTTATTTTAGTGAGGTCTTTGTTGTTGCACTGCTGGGGGGCCCTCAAGGTGGTCACACACCGACCCCAAAGTACAGGAGAAACTTGCCTCTCGTTATAATCAGATGGCTTACTCCCTTTTGTGGACAAGGCGGTTGTAACAGAGCAGACAAAACCACAGAGCTGTTTTGTTCAAGGACATGTTTGTCAGCCACTGATAAAAGCCTCCATTTTCAAACAGTTAATTGTCAGTGTGACTGTACAATGCACTCAGGGTGGGCATTGTAGTGAAAGACTACTGCAGATCGGTCTTAGTCTCTGACTTGAGCCTTATTATTGCACCGAGCCACATGATGATACACTCTGTTGTACCAACAACAAATGTGTTGCCTTGGAGAACTGGCTAGTGACGCTCTGCTTTAGGAGAGATGTTGAGGGTTTCATTGAAAGAGAGCATGTGCAGCTGCATGAATTATCTCTTTTTCCTCACAGCAGTGTCAAAGACAGGGCTGGAAATGATACATCTATTTATTTTGATACCCTTTATGGTAATCTGCGATGTAAAAGAAGAGAATACCTTCAATTGGTGAAGAAGAAAATTATTTGTTTGGTTATAAAACGGATTCTGGATTAGATCTTGTGGTTTTTGGCAGGGTTTTCAGTTGTATCGTAGTTTTTCCCAGATCAGAGAGTTTATTTGGATTAAGCTCCACAGTGACTTCCTGGTTGAAAACTAGAGAGTATCTATATCAAATAATTCCTCTCCTAGGATTTGTTAAACTGTTCCGTAGGATAATACATTCAATACATGTGCTTACTTACCATATCACTCTTAACTTCTCTCCTGATGGGTAAGAGGTCCATCTTTGTTTAGTTCCTCTGTTGCTTTGTTTCAGTCAGTGATCCTGGCCTGATTAGCACATAAAAGAGTGGAGATTAATAATTAAGCTGTTACCCTCTTCCCTGTGGCACTAACTACTGTTCTGACTCCGACAAGGATCACAACATATCTGCATCCTTTGAAGTAGCGGATATTTCATTAGCTTTAATTAGTCTGGGTCAGTATTCTTGGGGGAAACCTCAGATGGTGTGGGTAGGGCGAGTTCTCTGGCAACGGTTTCCTGGCTGGACTTTGTAGACTTTAAATTGTTTTGCCCAGTTGGCAGTATTCAGTTCTGTGACTTAAAGGACCAGTGTGTAGGATTTAGTGGAAATACAGCGGTGAAGTTGCAGGTTGCAACTAACTGAACACAGCTCGCGTCTGTATTTGATTACCTGGATGAAAACGGGCTGTGAAGTGTGTAGGAGGTGGCCCGTTTGGTTTGTCCGTTCTGGGCTACCTTAGAAATATGACAGTTCAACGTGGCATCTGTAGATAAAAACGTCTCATTCTAAGGTAACGAAAACGCAACAATTCCTATATTCAGGTGATCATACACTAATGAAAACATACCTATGAATATTATATCAAATTTTTCCCATTAGATCCTCTCACACTGAACATTTTCCTGCTATTCACCTGACTGTAGCAACAGGAAGTAGCAGCTACGGTCCATCTAAAAGCAAGACACCAAATCTGCGCTCCTCTAAAAGACATGCCACAACTACAGTAATGATGTATTAGAGGCCATATGTGTTTTGTATGTTCAGCTGCAAAACAGCTGGATCCAGCACATTCACTTGATTATGAAGGAGCTGTTGCGGTCTATAGAGGTTTACGGAGTGGACTCCAGAATCTGGATCAGGGTATGATAAATCTGTGTTGTCAGTGTTTTACTGAATACTCTGACACATACTCTGAAAACTTGTATCTCTTAAAACCCCTTGGTGTTTCAGAGCAACGGTAGAGGCCTTCCTCAGATGACATTTCAGAGCATGCCCCACGCTGTAACCGCATCCAAAGTAGTGCAAGAATGAATGAGTCACCACAAAAGAGAACATGGTCATTGTTGCCCATGCCAGTGCAGAGGGCTTAACATTTGGTTAAAAAAACAGTTATAATAGTGCTCAGTTCTTTCCATTTAGGAGGGAAAACAGGAAGCAGCTCCTCCCTGCGTCGCTGCAAAGCCCCAGGGTGGATGTGAAGATATGTGAAGAGCAGCGCGTGGAAGTGTGTGTTCTTAGGATATCCTCTTTGTTCTGTTGGACTGAAGAGGAGTCATTACAAAACGAGATGCCTCCTGACCTTTTCTCCTTGACGCTGTCATGCAAGCACACTCTCTTGTGTGTTTCCAGACAGACACTGCTTCACTGCTTGCACTCATTAGTCAACAAAAACCACAGGATCCATTGTCCCATTCAGCATGAGTATCCACAGCATGTGGATGGTAATGATTAGTGAGACAGTTGATAATGCTTAAACAGAATTGATGTCGACATTTCTAGCTTCTCACGACATTGCAATGACATTCATTTCTTGCTGTTATCTTGGCTGCATTCTTATTTCACTGATATTTTGAACAGATATATTTTCTATGTGCTGTGTTATTTAATTCTCACCAGCTCTGTTAATTTTCTTGATTTCCTGTTTCTGTGATAACTCTTATGGCAGTTCTCTTTCTGATTGCCACTTTCTATTTTCTCTCCTCGCTTCCAATCATTTCCTTCATAACTTTCCTTAAACGTTAACCTCTGTGCACCTGCCTGGCTAACTCGATACTTCTCCCTGGTCCTTGTGTCGCTTTTCTTGTCTGATCCTTGACCTTTGGCTCCTGTATGTGCCCCATCGACCTCTGCATCACGTCTCTTCCCCCTGTCTCTCGCTCCTTGCTCCTTGCTCCTTGCTCCTCGCCCCTCATTGCTCGCCATAGCACGCTGGTTGGACTCTTCATATCTGGGGAACATACAGAGCCCAGTCGAACCAGAGTACAGTAAGTCTCCAAGAACTTCTTTCTTTTTTTATGCTGCTTCTCTCCTCTCTTGTCTTTGGCACACTCTCCTGTCACCTGCTTCGCTCAGTTATGCACTTTCATTTCCAAACACACTCTCAGATAACATTCCAAGGAAGACTCAGCTTGGGCACGCAGCGTTTGAGTCCAGCTACTCTGTTTTTCCAAGTGTCTCACAGGCGTCTCTCATAGTGTTTTCTGATGCCAGTGGAAAATGATGAGATTGTTCCATCGAGTAATGTACTGCAGTTCATCGCACACGAATGACAACACTTGCATTTCCAGCTGAAAACATCTTTGTAAAGATATGTTGGAATTAAAAACAGTGTTCATTTCTGTGGACAACCAACACTTGGTTCAACGATATTATTAGAGAAGCGCTTTTTGTAATTTCAACCTCATGCAGCTGTCTCATCCCAGTGATACAAACCAGCTGTTTTACGGAATCACTACAACATGAGTATTAAAAAACTGCCTTTTTTCATACACAATGGTGGGTTTTGATTCTTACATTGTAAGCCGTGGGAGCGCACAACAGGTCAAGCTTAATAGCGAAGCCAGAAGTTATTCTGAAGAGTTCCCCAGAGGGCAATGAGAGGACTTGGAGACAGAGTTGTTTGGCTGGCAACCAGCAAAAGGGTTAAGTAGCAGGGGTCCTGTCTACTAGAGTTAAGCTGAGAAAGAGGCAGCTGGCATATTAATAATTACACTAAGGGAGAGAGAGATTGAGAAAGAGAGGGTGACACTAGAGAGAGTAAGAGGAAAAGCCCAAGGAAAAGAAATACATGTATAATTAAACATTTTTGATGGGATAGCTGGAGCAATGTGGTTTGGACTTTGTTCTTATAGATTCTGGCTCTCCCTCACTCCCTCTCTAAATGGCTTGGGTGGTGTTGGGCCGATGCCGTGGGCGCTGCCTTGGGGGTTGAAGGTCAAACCCAATGCGGCTAGGCTTTAAAGGCCAGCCTGGGCTCACTACTCAATCAAGTCTTTGTCTTCTGCATAGGCCTCTATGTGTTCAGAGGGGGCCCATTGCACAAAGCCACCACAGTTCTACTGAACAGCTTTAATAGCGAAATAAGTTTGTGAATTAACAGTGTGGAATGCTCCTGTTTTTTCATCCCATCCATCTTGTCTGCACTCTTGACAGTTTCATCACTCTTGATGGTAGCGGCGCTTGACGAGGGGATTTCCCCCCCGCTGGAAACAGTGAGTGATGCACAAGAGAATGGGTCTTGGAGTAAAAGAGCCGCTCGTTAGCAGCAGGGCACAACCCGGCACTCTAATCAAAGGATCTCAGGCGGCGGCAGTCCCACACTCGCCAGTCCGTAACGTAAAAGCGGCAAGCACAGAGAGAGTTGGGCCTACGAGCTGCTGTTGACCTGGCGGCGAGTACCCACTCAAGTGATTAGATTATATGCGGGTCAAATGAGGCGCTTTGATGACTAACTTTGATGTTGCCTGTCTTCTGGTTCTACATTCAGGCCGAACAATTATTCCTATAAGTCTGACAGTAACATTTTGCAAAGCAAGCACTCAGGCACCCTGCCAGGCTGTGCCGAACCCTGCAGTTCTGTTCTTACATGTTCACCTCACTTTGTGTTTTCATAGGCAGTGCTCAGTTTTTTTTTGTCATAAATGAGGCCTTTCCTCACCAGGAATGGGATGTCTTGTAGTGCCAATGCTTGTTTAAGGAAAGAGAATTTAGCAGAGAGGACAGCTGTTTACCAGCCAAAGCTCAGGCAGTGGAGCATAAGGCAGCAAAGTTCCCCACAGGCCTTTAACACAGAGAACACACAGTGTGAGATGCAAAATCTTTACCTTTTAATTAAGTAGCTCCTGGTAAGCATGATAAATGTCTGCTGTCAGTGTCCACATGTCTAGAGATATATAATTATCAAAGGAGAAGGGAAAGGGAGGAAGCGATATACACCAAGAGTGTTGATATTTTCTCTGCACACTTACTAAATGTGTGTGTGTGTGTGTGCGCAGATTTATTCTTTTGCACATATTTGGGCATGCATGTTTGTAACTAGAGGCTCAGCAGATGCCTACTTAGAACATGACTCTTTGCTTTTGGCATGGCAAGTAGCATCTGACTGCAAGAAACAGTGCAAATATTGACTTCCTCCCTAAACTCACACTGCCAGTCTGAAATCAGAGGCTGGCAGGCCCATCCTAACAAAGTGTTGGCAGGAATGTGAGAACGGGGCACCCTGCGGGCCTGGGCTATTTTAAGTTTCATGGGCTAAGTCTGTGACATTGGAATTATAATAATACAGCTGACATTTTCGTTGATAATGAGTTACTTATATAGCTCATCAATATGTTTTATATCGGCAGTTAGCTATAGTATTGAACAATGTTTTATAAGTTTATAACTGTAGTGGAAAATTGGATTAGTTGAATTCATCTTTTTGGCATAATACTATGGAAGATTGGGATATAAAAATCAGAGAGCTCCAAACTCAACATAACTTAGGAAACAGTTGATCCTGTAAAATGCCAGGCTTTTCAGATGTGGAATTGAAAATGGCAAGAAAGTGGAGTTTGTGCCACTGGTTGCTTACCAGTGAATTTAAATAAATCAGCATGACATCATGATACATGTCCTGTCCTAGCCCACATATGCGGCAGATGGGTGGGGTGTTTTTATGCAGAGCAATATGAGTCCTCAAAGAGAGGGGAGGAGAGAAATTCAAAATTTCGCTGGCTACAGTGATTAGAGGGGAAGGTCAGGCAGTGTAGCAACTTTCTGCCTTTATCAAAGACACGTTAGCAGAGACAATGGGTACAGTAGATGTAAATTTAACCAGCTGCGTGTAAGGTTTTGAATTTGAATCAGTTTACCTGCAAAAAATCTGGATTGCTCTAATGGAATCACCCAATTTCACCCATCACTCCAAGCAAGTTAGAACAAAGGGAACTGATAGCAGCTTCTGTATGATTCATGTCTGAATATGGAGTGCCATACTTTCCACCATTTCACCGCTATGTTTAATGACCAGTCAGACTAGTAATCTGTAGACCATTGATATAACCCCAGCTGCAACCCCCTCCGCTGCTGTCCTGCCTGCCTGATGTGTTTGACTTGATACATGTTGAGGGAGTGTTGAGGGCCCCTTCCACGGTCATTCACAGAGGATTTTCTTCTTCCTCCTCTGTAGCTGCTGGCACAGCAGCGATGCTGACTCAAACTCCCACTCACCTTCCAACTCTCTGATATCATCATCATTCAATCAGGAGGTCTGGTGCAAACTCGTGGCCTTGCTATTTTGGCTGATATCCATATACTGTGTATTTTAGTGTTTGCACTGATTAGGTTTCGGACAGTGCACTCACTTCTGTGTTTGCAACAAAGGGGCTTTATCAGTGTCTGTCTCCCACTATTTGTGACTATGTGTCTCCATGCCCATGACACATCCAGAGAGCAAGACAAGCCTAGATACTGTAAGTTATATTTGAGTGGGCGAGAGCGTTCCTGTGTCAGTGTGTGCCTCTTGTTGGTGCAACACTGCAGTGGTTGGTTTTAGCACAGACCCGACCACAATTGAGATATGGAAATAGACGCCATAATTTGTATGTGGCTCTTATTTAAGCCACAGTCATGCTCTCTAGTTTTTACTCTCTGAAACATTCAACCAAAGGCTTTCCTAAGGGAAATAATTCCCAACACAGTATCCATATCACATTGTCTTTAATAATATTAACAGCTTGAATCGGGCTTATAATATCTAAACCCGGCAACAGATGGACATTAATACTGAGCCTGTGGTCGTTGTCTGTTATTGTGTGGTTTAGCTGACAGATTCTCCTCCCGTCTCTGTGTTTTTAGTTTATTACAGAGCTCTCGTCAACTTCACTGACTCCCTGGTATACACCCCAGAGCTCGAGGACATCTTTTCAACAGCCTTTAATGAGGTCTCCGAAGCAGTGGTGGACACGGTATGTCCTTTTTTTCATGAAATAAACTCTAATAGTAGTCATGTACAGTACGCTAAGGCTACCCATGGTTCAGGCATGTAATTTATGACTTTGCTGATTTAAGTATGTGTGACCTTATGTCTGAAAATAAGGCCGAGGTTTGTTTATTTCATCTTAACCGAGTCTGATTTTCCCTCCACAGCTGGAGTCGGACTACAACAGGATTCAAGGTGTCCAGACAGTCAGCGTGGTCCTCATTAAGTAAGAACACAACTCCTTTAAATCACACCTGGTGACACCCAAAGTAGATACCCTGCAGCTGTGTATGGTGCTGCTGCCTGGGTGTCTTACTCTGGCCAGGTGATATTTCTTTTCCTTTTTCCAAACTGCTCAAGGCCAACAGTGTGGGCCTGTGGTCAGTAATTCGTCAACACTGACTACTTTCTTTAAGGCACATCCAAAGAGAAACTTTACCTCTAAAGTGCTTTCCTGTTGAACCATCTGCAGTGCACTCCACACGGTTTGTAGCCTCACCAGGTCTTTCTCGATCTTTACAGGAAGGTGATCAGAGACGATGGCGTGGACGTGTTTGTGGAGTTGGACGTGGGTTCTGACTACAACACCAATGATGAACAGATCCGCAGCGTGTTGTACAACGTGGTGAAGGAGGGAGCCATTGCTTCCTATGTCACATCAGTCCAGGGCTTTCAGTTCAGACGACTTGGGGAAGGTAAGATCTCAGAGGAACAGCACCTATCACGGCCGCGAAGTGACACAAGAGTTTGCTGCATGTTTACAGCAAATTAAGTTCCACCAGAGCCGGAGGCAGTTTCCTTAACATTTCCCTCTGGTTTCTAGTTCAACCTCTGCCTTCAGTGGAGCCTATAGCACTGCCAGGTTTGTACTGTGCCATGTGTGGTGCATGGTGACTGAGCCGACTGTACTGTAGAAACTGTAGGATGACTGTAGTGCTGTAGAAAGGACAGTCGAGCATTTCTTTCTTTCTGATGTTGAAATTTTACAATGACCTTTACTTTGGCGTGTTCAAGCAAATGGTCATGTGGTCTGGAGAAATGTTTTGCATGGAAGCACCAATGTAAAGTAGATTTTGAAGTATGGTCCCCAAAGTCCAGTAGCGCACAGTGAATAAGAAGGATCTTTGCATGGCATGAGGTTTGATTAGGAATGCTGCTGTTCACTCTGATCTCTGATTTACCACAAACTCCGTACACAGGCATTGCAACTGATAGGATAGGATACGATAATGATAACTATATCTTCAGTGTCATTACTAAGATGACAGGGTCCCAATCTATTTGTCTGTCTAGTCTGTCTGTGTCTATCTGCCTTGTCTTGTGTTGCTTTGTCTCGTCTATTCCAGTCTGTGTGTCTTGGGTATTCTATACTAGGTTTTTCTAGTCTGTCCGGTGTTGTCTGTGTGTTTGACTATCTAGTCTGTGTGTCTCTCTTAGTCTGTATAATCTAGTGCGTATAGTTTGTGTTTCTCTCCAGATTGTCTAAATAGTCTTTGTGTCTAGTTTGGTGAGTCTGTTCTAGGCTGTTTGGCAGTCTATTGTTGTCTGTGTGTCTATCTAGTCTGTCTATTATGTCTTGTCTTATTTATCTATCTATCCATATAGCTATCTATCTTTACCTATGACAGTTAGACAACATGCCTGAGTTACACTGACTCTAGTGACCTGATGGCTGAGGGGTCAGGGATGCTGTAGTTTCTCATCCGGCTTTGTTTTATTCGTGCTGTGATATGACATCAGCGTAGTGTAGTGTGTTGGCCGTACTGTAGCCTTGGCTTGCATGTCTGTGATCCTTCAACACCACTCCCCCCTCGTTTTTTTACCCTTTGCATCTCTCATAGTAACCCCCAGCATCAGAGCCTGCATGCCAGATGAGCACAGGTGTGGTGATGGAACATGTATCCTGATGGAATACCTGTGTGACAACAGACCAGACTGCAGAGACATGAGTGATGAGATCAATTGTGGTGAGTGGCTTCAGCTTGGCCAGCAAGTTGTAACACGGTCGGCTATAGCATGGAAAACTGGCTGGATGTGAGATATGTTCACTTACAGTAACAGCACTTTGCACGTTTGCTAAGTTTAATCAGAGATTTGTTTTAGACACAAAACGGACGGTTCCTCCAGTGTTCACCACCACTCCCACCACAACCATCACCGCTAAGAAACCCCCGCGGCCCGTCAGCCCCCCTGGACCTTGCAGAGCGGATCAAGCCACATGCCAGAGCGGAGAGTGCATCCCCCGAGACTACATCTGTGACGGGGAGAGGGACTGCTCTGACGGAAGCGACGAATTCAGATGTGGTAAATAACACAGCCAAGCGCATGTGCACACCCTCAGACAACAACATGCACTTATTGTCCTCTTATCTTTTCACAGGTACTCCATCTCCTTGTGAACCCAATGAGTTCAAGTGTAAAAATGGTCGCTGCGCCCTCAAGCTTTGGCGTTGTGATGGAGACAACGACTGTGAGGATAATTCAGATGAAACGGACTGCCGTAAGACTTTTTGCTCAGCATTTCTGGATACACGCTTATTTGCTTTTTAGATTTGAAGCCACCGCCAGAAGACAGTTAGCTTACTTTAGTGTAAAGACTGAAAGCAGGGGAAAAAAACTGCTTCTGGCCAAGAAATAGTTCCAGCACATAACCCCCATAAAACCACAACTTGTCAGATGACATATGATTTGGTAAATTTAAAAAGTTTAGAGGTGTAAGTAGGTGTATTTTGTTACCTTTGGAC